CCCCTATATATATATATATACACACACACACCCCTTATTTCGAGAACCCAAAAAATTGTGATAACCTTGAAAACTTGTACATCATGTTTTATGTCATAGATTTATTTTCCATCTAAGAATAAGATTTAGAATATTAATTAAAACATATGTGTATATATATATATATATATATATACACACACACCTTATTTCGAGAACCCAAAAAATTATGATAACCTTGAAAACTTGTGCATCATGTTTTATATCATATGTTTTATTTTCCATCTAAGAATAAGATTTATAATATTAATTAAAACATATTTGTTTCACATGTCTTCGGTTCAAAATGTGAACTCTTTTGACATGAAAAACAAAATATACACGTAAATATGAACCAAATACACACACATATATAATAAACATATTATAAAATAAATATATATATATATATATATATATATATATATATATATTAATTAATATATTAAATACTATGAAAAAGTTTTAAATGATAAAAGAGTAGTAGAAGAAATGGGTTGAGATAGATGTTTAACCAACCTTACAAGGTTACTGAGCCTAAAATAATTTAGGCCCAAGTTAACAGAACCCAATTAAAACCAAGTTAAAAAAAGCGTAGCTAACCTAATATAATATATGGCCACGAACGCAGGGTCTTCTCCCACATCGACGATTGTTGCAATACGTAATGCGTTTATATTCTGAAGAAACGGATGTGAGGACACGACCTTACTTGAACAGGATCTGTTCTATAGGCTCGTACCTCTGTATTCTTGATTCCTAAGAAGACAGAAACCCATGTCTGGTTGATGAACCACGACCATGTAACCAGAGCGTGATTAACAGAAACCCATGGTCTTGGCAGGCCATGGCTCGGTAGATGATCGTTGTCATCCCATCTGATGGGTCCTGGCATGGTTACATGGTTGTCTGACAGATAACTATTACACCTTTTTCTTCTTTTTCATCTCGTTTATTCTTGCATAGCAAGTGCTTGATGAAATGCCTGAATGAGGTCGTGTCTCCTACAGGTATGATTCGTCTTTACTATACTATAATCACAGACAAAACAAAACAAATCAAACTCAAAGTAACCAAGTTGTTTTTGTTTTCGCTTGCGTCCAATCTTTTCTCCAGGGAGAAAGAGGTAGGCATGATGGGTGAAGGATACATGTGGATTATAACCAGTAAGACTACAAGCTTCCTGGATTCCTTGGATGTTGAAGCTATCAAGTTGAAGCAGGGGGGCAGTGGGCTTCAAATCGCATCAAGGGAGCTTCATGATTTTGAGTTGAATTGGAGAAAGGAATATTTTGCTTTAAACCCTTTTGTGGAGTTTAAGGAGGTGGATCCTAATGGTATATGGGCATATGATGCAGTTTGTGCACCAACATTGGGTGTTGATAGGGTACAAACTACGATTCCACAACTAGAAGAACATGTTACAGTAAGCTCTCCAACTCTAATCTCAATTTACTTAAAGATTTGATCTTTTTGGCACCAATGTTCGTATTCACATTTGTTACATATACCCACAAAACTTATTGTTCTTGGATCTGCAGGCGGGAGGCTGCAAAGTAATTTGTCAAGATTTGTGGTGACTGTTTGGGTTTTTCTGGTGCTTGTGCTCACATCGAGTTACACTGCAAGCGAGAGGCTGTGGGGTGTCGATGGCGTTGGCTCTTTTGGTGTCCAATAGTTTATCTTGTTCGTGGAAATGGTTTGGCAAAAATAAGATGCAGATACTAAGGTGCATGTTACGGGCATCCGTGAAATACATGTGCAAGATAGCGAAGTTCGATTTTGTTGTTCCGTTCTCTAAGCTGATTTCAATTCTGGTTGGATAATAGACTCTGGGGCAAATCGGCACATCGTCGTCTTCCATATATAATCTATAAAATGTAGTTGATATATTTCATCTTAATGTTAGTATTTGTCACCCAAATGCTTTTGTTGTTCTAACATTAGAAATACTGGTAAACAAAAAATATTTGGATAAAAAGTTGATTACCGACAATCCCAACCAGTCCTACACAGAACCCATCTCCAATGACACAATGTGAGGAGTATTTTTGGCTCATTCGATGGCTAAGATTAGCGGAAGGCCGGAGATTGAACCAGGAACATGTCTTCTATTTGGACAAAGTTACCATAGTCCTTTGTGAACTGAGTTATGCGCAATAGGCTATGTGTATTAGTACATGGACTATTTGGGCTAAAACTATGGTAACCGGTCTCGTATATAACTCGTCTCCAATACACTAACATGACGGGTTATTTTTTTCCCACTCAACGACTGAGGTTAACAAGATTAGTGGTGAGAACCGAAACTGGGTACCTGTCTTTGAAACTGGAACCACTCAGAAATTGTCGGTTTCGGAACCGATGTGATTGGTTCGGTTCCTAAAATATGGAACCGATGAGGACTGGTTCCAATTCTGGTTCTTTTTTTTTTTTTTTGAAACGGTTAACCGCTGGATACTTAAAACCGAAAAATGATAGCTACCAGCTATTTTTTTTATCGGATTAGTTTTTACCCTTTTTAGTATTTATTTATTTATGTTGGTACTTTGTAATAGACTAATAATTACATTTTTATAGTATGAAATGATAAAGAAAAATCTTAAAAAGTTAGACCCCGGGTACCTGGTACCATAATCGGTTCCAAGCGGTTCTGGACCAGATCCCAAATATAAAGAACCGATGTAATCGGACATCGGTTCCGGTTCCATGAATTTTGGTCGGGTACCCGACTTTGCTCACCCCTAAGCAGGATGGGAGGATCGAACTCAAAACTTGTCTTGTATTTGAATAAGGTCATCTTACTCCTTTGTCAACTGAGCTACACATTACATGAACTATCTTTGACCCGTCAAATAGTACGTTGCTTTAGCGATGACTTACAGTTACAGCTATTTTATTGCATTTTAACTATTCATTACATTAGTTGGAGACGGCTTACGTTCAGGTTTTAACGAAAGGTGACCAACCCTAACAGCAGTCATGGGCCTGAAATAAATTGGGCCCATAGTTCCCAAACCCAATTAAAACCCAAGTGAGCGGTGCAGGCTCTCCTCCCACATCGGCCATTGTTGCAATATGGAGTGTGTTTATATTTTGAAGAAACGGAGGTGAAGTCACGACCTTACTTGAACAGGATCTGTTCTATAGGCTCGTACCTCTGTATTCTTGATTCCTAAGAAGACAGAAACCCATATCTGGTTGATGAACCATGACCATGTAACCAGAGCGTGATTAACAGAAACCCATGGTTTGGCAGTCCATGGCTCAGTAGATGATCGTTGCCATCCCATCTGATTGGTTCTGGCATGGTTACATGGTTGTCTGACAGACAACTCCAATCTTTTTTGTTTGCATTTTAATTTTTATGGAATACGGTATGAGTCTCTCTGTCTGGATGATAGGTTTCAACTTACTAAGTAGCATGTTCATTTACATTCTTTTTATGCCAAACTTAGAGATGCAGAGGAGGCGTTCGATGAAATGCTTGAAGGAGATTTTGTTTCTTTTATGATTCATCTTTATTTTTATCATGGACTCCCTGTATGTTGGACTATTATAATTGATGGGTTCTCAAGAATGGGAAAATTATTGGGGCGTTGGAATCGTTCAGGAAGATATATACAAACTTGCAGAGGGTGTAAAGAGGTTCATGATTATGGCTTCCCAATCATGGAGTAGTGATCTTAGAGAGCCTAGATACTTGAATGTTCGGGAGGGTGTTAGGCATGTTGCCAACCCGTTTAACCCCAGACGCTAACGGGTGCAGCACTTCTAAGGTACGAGCTTTGAAGAGTTAAATTTCATGGTGTAGGTGGTTAATTGAAGCTTATGAATGGAAGAACCATCTCCAAAGCCATAGAAGTCGTAAATGTGATCGGAAAGGGTGATAGAAGGGTCGGTTTCTGGATGGTTCGCCAAGGAAATAGGAAAAAAGAACTCTTCTAACGGTGGCCTGAGAACGATCATCTGGCCGGGAGGGACTGTGACTATTCCGAAGCGTAGGAGGCCACAAATGAATGACAAGAAACTGAGAATTCTTGTTCCAGATAAGAATTTAGTACAACTGACTACCAGCGGGTTTTGTGGGGATGTTTTCAATTCTGCGTTTAATCTCTTAGATGCACATGTATTTGTTCCGTAACATGTTTGCTTCATATGCATTTGGTTTACAAAGTGAATCTTTTATACGTATAACTTTTGTTTCACAGACAAGTCAAAATGGTTCACATTGTGAAACAAATATATGTTTATCAATATCCTAAATCCTAAGCTTAGATGAAAATAAAATATATGAATTAACACATGATGCACTGGTTATTTCAACTTTGAAGTTTGAAGTTTCGACCTATTTGGCAATTTTACGAACCAAGACCAAAATTAAGTGTTATCTTTCTATTCTCTATATCGTATCATTTGTTTAAGATATATTTCCTCAATCACAACCATCCAGTGCTCAAATAGAAAAAGAAAGAAAAGGCAAGAAGAAATTGTTCAATTTTTGCAAAAATCTCTAAATAAGTTTATTGTACAAAATCACAAGTGATTCACCTGACTTTGCCCCGCGACCTGAAGACATGGCCAAAGTCACCCGCACACCTTTTTTTGGCCGTTAATGTAAAATCACCTATAATTTTACGCATGATATTGACAAACTAAAGTAGCACATATTATATATATATATATATATATATATATATATATATATATATATATATATATATATATATATTGACAAACTAAAGTAGCACATATATTATAGGATTATAGTGTCAGATAATACAACAAAAAATTAGAAATCAACCGGCCTAAACATATATTTTTTCTGATATTTTCCCATGTTAAAATCGAAAATCTGATTAACTTTAAAAGGGTTAACACCTTTACACCTAAAAGTTAAAGATGATTAGATGATCATAATCAGGGTTCGATCACGTACCGTGCCTACAAACTTGGTGGATATAAGGAGCCTGATACTGGTAACCGTTTCCAAAGTAATTCCCATGGTTAGGACCCATGTTGTATGTAACACCGCCCAAAAACGGGTATACACCACCCTCTGGAACGGCCCCACCACACGTAACACCGCCAATAAATAACGGAATGTGGTTCTCAGCTGCCGCAGGGTAGCCATAGGGTCTGGTGTCATACATGGACTGCGTTGGTGGTGCGTACCTATTGGTCATTCGAGGGTAAAAGTTCTTGTCGGCAGCAATGTTGGTGTTACGAGGCCCATATCCAGCTACGCCATTGGCTCGGGGTCTTTTGAGTTGAGGTTTCGAAACTTCTGTGGCTCGTTTCTTGTCGGCCTTGGCCTTCTCCAGCTGAAGAATCCGTTTTTGTAGTGGGTCCGAGGGGTACTGATCTTCGAGCTTGTGATCTTCGATGCATTTGATGACAGCTTTCAGAGCAGACAGCTCTTTTTCACTGGCATCATTCTGCTAACACAAGAACTTAAATATCAAGAATGTCCAACAGAGGGCATATGATCTAAAAATTTACAACGGGATGTGAGAATATGTGAAATCTCATCAAAATACATTCCTAAAAGAGCTCTAAAGGAAAGAAGGGGGATTCCAACATATATTGAGGAGAAATGGTCAACGTGAGACTCTAAGAGCATCTCCAATGCAAGGTTTTTATAAGCAAAAAGTGTCGCTTCTTACAAGAACCAACATCGTAGAGAATTCTTATAAGAACCTCAACTCCAGTGAGTTCTTGTACAAGAACCTTGAAGTTTGTGTGAAATGACAATTTGTTAGTTTTCTATGTATTTGTTTACAAAATATATAATAATTGTTGATCTTGAGAAAACATATGAGTTGGAAGAAATGTGGCAACAAAAAATACAAAAAGTAGATTCTTATAAGAACCTTCGTTGGAGATGCTCTGACATGCCGCCTACAATGAAAGCTAAATGGGCACAGATGGTCCAGGAGTGTCAGGAGGGGGCTACACGAGTACAAATGGCCCTAGAGTGTCGATCCAATTGGCTCTAATACCATGTGAGAATATGTCTGGACCCCATTAGATTACACTCCAAAAGGGACCTTAAGGAGAGAGGGATATTCCAACATATATTGAGGAAGGGCTAAATCTAGCCGATGTGAGACTCTCTTAACAATGGAAATACCTGTGTAGTGGGAGAACAATGTCGTTTTGCCTCGATCAGGTAGGATTTCAACAATGAAACAGGAGCAAACTGCTCAGTAAGCTCGAATGCAAATGCTAGGTTAACGGCATCGATATGCCTTCCACTATTGACTAACACATCAATTACATCTGACAAAACCAAAAAACAAAAGAGCATTAGAGCATCCACAATAGTGCTTATAGGCCGGCCTTTTTGGGAAGCTTATTGGCCACATCAGCTCGTAAAAACATCTTTTTGCTAAGGTTTTTGGATGTGGGTCCCACTTTTCTTGAAAAAAGCTCCACCATTGGGGATGCTCTTGAGACAGGTAAGATCTGCATCCATCTTACCCCGAGACCCTACCTTCAGGTGGGTGGGTTGTACCGGGTTTTTTTGGTTTATTGAGCCTACAGAAACAGTCCTGCATACATCTTATAAAAAAATTACCAACCTGGCATATTCTTGGACAATCCAAGAAAGCGGCAAAGATCAGCCGTCTGGCGACGACGAGATACCATTGGTATCAACATGGACAAATCGTTCTGAACAAAATCAGAATCAATACCAAACGTAGCAACAAGTTGTAAGAAAGCATGAGCCTCCAATGAGTTCCCATTGCTAGCATCCACATCAAGATCGTTTAATTTGGACTTCCAATCTTCAGCAATAACCTTTGCACGGGCCTTCACGTCATCAGAGATTAACTTGCAGACTGTATTTGCATCTAGATTTGTTAACAGGAGGCTAAGACACTCCATCAACATGATACATGTTCTTTGCAGACCTAAAAGATTCGAATCTTTTTTCCCATCTATGTAGAAACCATTGAGTGAATCTAAGACCAGGCCACCAGGATCGGCTGCAGCTTTTAATGCAATTGGAATCTCGCTCTTTATGGAAGCAAGATTCTTACGATTATCTGATATGAATTTGTGCAGCCCTCCAGAATCCATCTTCTTGCATAATTGAACAAGTTGGGGATTAGACAGCTTTTCCACATCATTTTCAGTTAACTTTTGCATACTATTTATGGTACATTCAGGCATAGATTGTTTTTCTTCCACAAAGCTAGCACAATCTTGGTCTATATTTCCGTTTCTGTGTTTGCCTAAAGTGTAAGCGATAGCAGTGACAGCAGAATCTCTCTTTTCTTGAAGCTTCACCAATGAAGCTTCTTCCTTGGTGAAAACAGCAGCTTGACGCTTCTCCAACACTTGTTGCGATTGAACTGTTTTTGTTTCAAACTCCTTTTCTTGGTCTTCAAGCACAGTAAAACGCCTCTTTAAGGACTTCTCAAGCCCATGAAAATGGTCCTCAATTTCTTTCCATTTCAAGTTAAGGGTTACAGCTCGGTGACTTTCTAGCTCAGCAAATGCTTTCTGAAGTTGTTGTATTTTAGAGTTTGTTGAAGCTAAGAGCAAAGCAACTGACTGGGTATCATCCATGGCAGGTAAGCAGTACAGTAAATAAGCCTTGAAATAAAAACAAGAAATGATTAATGCTGTGGCACAAGGAACTGCCAAAGGACATAACTATTATTAGGAAAAATTAAATTTAGGCAGGAAATCAGAATAGCATGAAAATTTAGAGATCTACGGGCTACTGGAGAATTGTAAAATCACATGACCCTGACGCATGTTTACCCCCAAACCCCACCTCCGGGCTTCGGGTGGGATATAGTTTGATTTGGCTTTATGTACATGACACTGATACATAATAGATTATTGCCATAACTTAAAACTTTTGTTGCAGGATCACCTGGTAAAACTAGGTTTAAATATAACAAATTAACAACACAAACAAATATCATACTTTGACCACTTGAAATAAAATATTTTCATAGTTTCAAGTGTTCGATGATGAACTTTGCTAGAATAGCTTTTGCGAAGGTAAAAGAACATCTTCGTTATCCAGGATGATAGCTCAATCATACTTGTGAAAAGGAAATGCAGAAAGGGGAACCTCACAATATCCACAGATCTCTTGGCATTCACAGAACCTTAATGATAGCTTTCTAAGGAATCTTTCTCCCAAAAGATAAGTATCCTTCAGTGCATTACTGTTACCTAAATCAACATAGTCCGTCACAATGCTCCTCCCCTCTGACTCTCCTCTTCGATTAATAATGCAAGAGTAATCAATGCCTACTAATTAAACAAATATCATACTTTGACCACAAGGGTGGTGCCGATTGGTTTGAGCTTGGGCTCCAAAAGTCAAAAGTGCCTAGGGTCCCAGGTTCGAGTCCAAGGAGGAATAAAAATCCCCTTGTGGCCACGGAGGTTCAAATGCAGTGACTCCGGGCTACCCGCAAAGCGGGTGGTCTCCCTTGGATTAGTCGGCTTGCATGGCGAGTTTGATATCTGGTTAATAAAAAAAAATCCCTAATCCGACATTGATCTCTTACTATAAATTTCAGAGTAAACCAACTTCAAAACCACTTGATCATGAAATAGTCACATGCCATCTTACCATCTAGCATAGCTTTGAGCTGATTAGCTCAATGCACTTCTTACAAGTCAAAACCGTAAATCATCAGAAATGTTCAACATCTATGAAACCCTAGCATTAACTCCCACGAAATCTGCCGGCTTGTTGATCATGCAGATCAACCACAGCATTTTACAAAAGAAAATCGAAACTTAATGTGACAAACAGATCGACCAACACACTGTGATCACAACTAGAAAGGAGATATATATATCTATCAACAGAAACCACACTAAGCCATAAAAAAAAAACCAATTACGAACCACAATATCAAAATCAATCATCGAAGCCTTAATATCAGCTACTAATGTCATAAGAGCTAGTGAAAGCAAAGTAATTGGATCTAACAAGTATGGTTGCATTAATTAAGGAAGCGGTTTGAGTGAACTTACAAGAGTAAGACGGTGCGTGGCCACGGAGACGGTGGTCACCGGCGGAGAATTGCACAGTTTGATGAAGCCATTCTGGTTTTGCTGTGCTTTGGAGAGAGGATTTGGAGGGGACGCAGCCAATTGTAGATAGAGAAAGGGAAAGTGAGCGCATTCGAGTTAACTTATAACCAGCAACTTTGATTATTATTTTTAATAGAGTTTTTTATTAAAATAATCATTGATCTTCCTTGACCATTAAAAGATCTAATTTCATTGTACACAATTATCAAATAATTATATTTTATTCTATACTATATCATAAGAGTCTTTTAATCATTCAAACCATTTAATTATTTTGCACCAAACTATTCAATAATTGCCAAACAATCCCTAAGTTTATCAGTCATGAGTGCAAAAATCCACATTCGCAATTACAGACTCTCTAAAGGACAAAAAAAAATTAACCTTTCTACTCTTGTTCGCAAAAAAATCAGACTTTTCACTGAGGTCCGCAAAAAATTTTATATTTTTCACCCAAATATGAGAAAAGATATTTTTCATCCAGTTTCGCAAAAAGAAAATTAAAATTGCGGCCTAATGTTGTTCTGATAAACCTTGTAAAAAATGGTTAAAAAGTAAAAGATAGCCAATTATTTTAATTATTATTTTTTATACTTTTGTAGCCTTTTTATAAGAAAAGTGATTATTATTTTTAATTATATGTTAAATATTAATTTTTTAATTGATTAAAAAGATATAACAAAAAATAATTGTGAAAAGGTATATAATACCTTCTAAAAAGATTCCTATAAGTCTTTCTTGGATATGATTTTTTTTCTTTCTTTGTTTCAACTTATTTTTTAAAATGTTTTGTCAAAATAAAGAAAATAAAAATATATAAAAATCTCCAAATTTAAAAAGAAACTTCAAAAATTATTATAATAAGAGATAAATATTATTCAGTATATTTTTATCAATAAAAAATTTTGAAAATAAATATCCAGATAAAGGAATGGTATTTTTATTAGATAAAATAAATATTTTAATAATATAATTGATATTATAATTTTCCGAATGAATAACCTGATGGAGTTAATACATTTTTATTTTCGAGATTTTAAAGTTTCATAATCCATTACAAAAAAAAATTATGAAGATTTCTGTTGGAGATGTTTTTTATAAAGTTCTTAACTTACTGAACTAAGAGTTGTTTTGTCTACCTCTTAATAGTTCTATTAAGAGGCAGTATCTGAATCGTTAAGATGTGAATCTTGTTTGGCAAAAAAAAAGTTTGTCTTTTAATGTATCTAAAATTCTCTGAATGATTTTGCATCATGGGTCTCCCTTAATCATTCAGCGTCATAATTTTATTGTGAACAATTATATTTCATTTTGCACCATATCATGAGAGCTTCTTGATCATTCTGATCACTTAATCGTTCTACAACAAACCATAATTTCATTTTTTGGTTGATTTCAAGAGATTTTTTTTTCGGTTTTTTGGTTAAATTGAATAGACTTTTTACGGTTTTTTGGTTGATTTCAAGAGATTTTTTTGGTACATTGTCTCATATAATTCTTAAAGAATTTACAAAAAGTTACGACACATTCCATCTTAGTCGAAGTATCGTCTGAGAATGAGGGTTAAGATGAGAAACATACAAAGGGATCTAGACCCTTGATAATATTTAATCACAAACTCACTCATAAACCACGATTGATATGGTGATTGATCCAGTACATCTCATTCTAGTGTGCATCCAATGGTGGAGATCTCTCCTTACGCTTCTCACATTGACTCTCATTCTCATCGGAACTCAATCATTCGACCTTAATGATAGAAACAATTAAATTATCTCTCTCTCTCTTTAATATCAAGTTACAGATTTTTTTTTCTTCAAATTCAGAAATTTCTACATACTCTGTTATCTTCTCTACTTTAACATGTATTTTAATACAACTGTCGTAGTATTAAAAGCAGAGTTTAACATGCATACATATATATACACACACACATACATTTGGGATCACGTAAGACCAATATGTTTTTGTGAGATCCGTAAGACCATGTTTTTACACTTGAAATTTCACAACAAAACTATGTGAAGGTAACCTTCACATTGTTTTTGCTGTGAAAGTTCGGGTTTTTTTTTTACCTTCACAACGTTTTACTATAAAGTTTCAAGTGTAAAAAAGTGGTCTTACGGGTTTCAGCAAAACATGTTGGTTTATATATATATATATATATATATATATATATATATTAAAAAACAAAAATTTTCCAAATTTTTAACATTTTAAAATAAGATAATTGTATAACACGGTTTCCCATAAAGTGACACAACCCACAACCCCTTTCCCCACTTTTTTTTTTTGCTTTTTCCTCTTTTGGCAGACTTATTTATCCATTTGCTAGTGCAATAAAAAGTTGCCTAAAGTTACAAAAATGGTCCCTGAGGTTTTGATCATCAGACATTTTTCACTTAAGACGTTTACAAATGTTTATCTGGGTAAACATTTACCAAATCATGTTATCTTATCAGATGAATATAGTAAGAATCAAAAATCTTACCCAATAAGCAAAGTCTTATAGGGTAAGTGAGGGCGATGACTCTTATCACGGTTAGCGCTTAACGGGTAAATTGTTGCATATGATTTTGACGAACTAAAATCTTACGCGATAAATGATAGTGTTAAATTTTACTGGTAAACACTTATCATATAAGTTTTGTAAGGGACTTGATAATATCTACCAAACTTCTTTTAAAACCGTTAGTCCAGATGTAGACAAAATGGATAATATTTGGTATGGTTAGTCTGAGATGCTACTGTTGTTAAAAAATATTTCTGAAAATATAAATTTAATGAAATAATGTATTTTTTTTGTGCAATTTGCCTTTTTCGAAGAGATTAGTTTTCTTTATCATCTCATCGTCTACCACTTCAAATACGACATTGAAATCAGTCACGAAATTAATCTTATCAAATCTTATAGAAGTGAATATTGCAACTTCAAACAATCAACTTTAACGATACATTTAAACACCCTCTAAAAGATACATCTTGTTTTTTGATATTGTATACATAGAGTATGCAATCGATGAATTTTAATACCAGGTATCTGAGTTTAAGGGGCTCTTTATCAAAATGTTTATCTGGTAAGTACTTACCCCGGTAAGAGTCATTATCTTCACTTACCGAGTAAGACTCTCCATCTTTATCATTGTTCTTACCGGATAAGATTTTTGACCCTTGTCATGTTCATCCGGTAAGGAAAATTACTTTGTAATCACTTACTGAGTAAGTGTTTAATAAACGGCCCCTAAGAATCGTCATCTTCACTTACTGGGTAAGACTTTTCATCCTTCTCATTGCTCTTACTCGGTAAGATTCTTGGCCCTTGTCATGTTCATCCGATGAGGAAATTTATGATATTATATACAAGTTTGTTGCTATAAGTCACGTGTAAAAACTATGGGGTATTGTCGTCCCTCCTAAGACTTGAAGTTTAACGTCATCGACACCAACACATCTCAAGCCTTTAAAACTTGAGTTATAATTATATAAAATTCCGACACTGACAAAAAATATTGATTTAAATAGATATTTATCTACCATATAGAGTTTTTTTTATGAACTTGGATATCCAACTCGCTATGCGAGCCGATTAATCTCAAGGCAAACCACCCATTTTGCGGGTAGCCCGGAGTCACCGCATTTGAACCTCCGGGGCCACAAGGGAATTCTTATTCCTCATTGAATTCGAACTTGAGACCTTTAAGCACTTTTGACCTTTGTAGTCCAAACTCAAACCAATCGGACACCACCCTTATAGTTAAAAAAAATCGCTCTTAAATAGATATTTATCTATCATGTAATTTTTTTTATTAACCTGGATATTCTGAATTTTCAGGTTTAGTAGAACAAGAATACAAAAATTTCATCTCTTTATATTTATGTTGTGTTCTCGAAACCTTTATTACCATGGAAAGGAAAGTAAAAAAAGAACTTGTGTTTTTGAAATTTTTTAAAAATAAAAATGAAAATAAACAGGAAAAAATAATGATAAGTTTCCTACCAAACGTGAGAGGAAAGAGAAGGAAATGATAAAAAGAAATTAAAACTCTTTAAAAAGATTATTAATATTACAAAACTACCCAACATTTCAGTTCAGTAGATATATTTTTAACAGATATATTTATAAAAATAACATATTTCGTTCATTTCCTATCATGTTCAAGAATATGAAACGTTAATTTTTTTCCGTTCCATTCAGAATGGACACACAAATGGACTGGATCAACAATAATGGAGGGATTCAAAAGAATTTTATACTTAAAACCTTAATTAATTGTAGATATTTCACTCTATCGGGAAAAAAAGGCCCAGAGGCCAAGGCCCCTGTGCCCATCCACCCCTGGTTCCATTATCTATTGAGAATACTTTTTTTCTAATTTTCTTTATTTTATCTCCAAAATTGAAACATGACGTTCGGGAGAAAGTGAGGGTGGTGGGGGACCAAGAAAACGATGATAGCCGTACTTTGAACAAGTCAATATTCATTGTTATATCATTTTAGTAGATGTTGTTAACGTATATATTTAAGATCTAGTTAAATTATACATTAAAATATAAAAAATAATGTTGATCTTGATATATATATATATATATATATATATATATATATATATGCATGTATATATAAGTAAATAAGTAACTTTGGGGACACGTGTCATGTTTCTGTGCGACGGTTACTGATTTTTTCCGCCTAAACATGTATTTAGACACAATTTTTATTACAGTTTAAATAGGTCTATTTAAATGACATATGTCCATCTACACATTTATTTTATCGTTTTAATGGTTTAACTGATTTCCCAAACTATTTAAAAATCTTTGGCGTGTTTTTTATAGTTTTTAAATCTGGAGGCCTCTTTTCCAGACTTGATGTAATATTATTCATTTATATTAAAAAACGATAAAAATAAATATATTCGTAAATTTTGTTTATTTATTTTAATTTTAATTTTATTAAATTTAGTATTTGCATAGAATTGTATGTTAATTTTGATGAATTTAATATGGGAGTGATATCATGAAAGATGGCCTACAGTTTTTAGTCTTTGCAGACTTCAATGCAGTGGTGACTTGAAGCTCCTACGGAGATGCTCATCTTTGACCAGATTAGCAATGATTTTTCTTTTATACCCCTAAAAAGGGGTGGCTAATGGCACCCCTATCATGTGCTAATGCCACCCCTAAGTAGGTTTCAATCATTTGTATTTTATAAATTTTTGTGTTTTTTTGTTTTTTGTGATGATTACTTTTTATTTTATTATTAATTAAAGAAAATTTAAATTAATATATATTATTTATTTAATTTCCTGTTTTATTTATTTATTTATATTATATTTTAATTAATATAAATTATTAATAAATATATATTATTCATTTTGTTTTCTGTTTTTTATTTGTGTATATTTTATTTATTTATTTATATT